TAGCACCACAATGCATTTCATAATTCCTAAAATAGACAATTATAATTTGACAAAAAGACAATCAACTACTCTATGTAATTGTTATTTACATGAAGGCCAATCATGAGTTTAAGGCTTGCCTAGTATTATGGTAACAAAGTAAAATCTTTATAGATTATGGAAACCGATAATTGAATCATATTTGGAGCCAAAAAGAAGTGTTTCAATCAAATTGAAATGAAGGGAATTTGTGATCAGAAAAGTTGAACATACTCGATTACTGCATCAAACTAGAAAATAAAAATAATATGATGATGACAATAAGTGAATAATAATATTATGGGAATTGATTCACTTATTCCAAAAGTAAGTGGAAAAAACTTACTCTACATTTTAACTATACATTCTTGGAAAATCATATGACTTCAATTAGTGAATAGATCTAAACTATTAGATTTTCTTAGAATAAATAACTAAGATATGAAGTAAATTTTTTCTACTTAATTTTGGAGCAAGTGAATATTATTATTATTATTATTATAAGGGGAGAGGAATATATGAAAGATGTGTAGGACAAATTATGACATGTGACTCTTTCCCTATTGGAATCAATGTGGGCCCATGACAGAGAATAATCTGGTGTGTTGCAATGATGATCCCTCTACCCTCTCCAAATTTCTTCTATGCACTCCTCAGTTATCTCAGTTTTCAGTGTCTTGTTGTGTAAGAGTGAGTGTTACTGCAATCAACACATTCTGAATTACTATTAATTGCATTTCCATATCTTTCATTTGTCTGTGACCATTCTCTCTTTTAATAATCTGCACAAGGGGTAATAAGTAGGTATCTATGCCTTTTACCTTTTTAATTTGTCCTCTATCTAACTACTTTTCGAAATAATTATTTAATTACCTTTTTATTCACTTCTAAATAGTTTTTTTTCCTTTTATTTATTTCTTACTATTTTCTATACTCACCTCAATGGCGTGTTGTGATTTGATTAATGTCGTTTTTAGGTCAGTACAAGCAAAATTAAAAATGGCAAAGTCAGATTATATGTGTCATAAGTAATGGACAATTACATATATTAATTATAGAGAGATTAATTTAAGATAGTTGGATGAATTAAGAATTAGATTATATCATCCCTATTAGACCTGTCAAAATGGGCCGGTCCGCCAAGGCCCGAAAATGTATAGTGTTTGGGTACTAAAATTTGAGTATTTTAGTTAAATCGGGCTTTTTAGTCCGGCCCGGCCGGACCCAATAAATTCGGGCTCGGGCCGGGCTTACCCGTTCGGGTTCGGGCCATTGTCTACTCATTTTCTTCCCTCTCATTTGGCTTTTCTTACCTGTGCATTTTGCATGATGTAATCGATTACAATATACTCGTAATCGATTACAACATATTAAAAGCATCAGTTTTTTGCATTTGTGTAAATAATAAAATAATCCGGGTCGGCCCGCCGTAGCCCGTAGCCCGCTTTGGGCAGGTTTGGGCCTCATTTTTAGCAACATAAAATATAACCGGGCTTTTTAGCTCGGCCCGTTTTAGCCCGAATCAAAAGCGGGCTAGCCCGAACCCGTCCGGGTAGCCCGTTTTGACAGGTCTAACTATATGATGGTTAGTAACATTTACGTAAGCAATGATCAGAAGCTGATGTACTATACTTTAAATGGAAATAATAATAAAATCACATTTAAATTTGGAATCATACTTACAAAAAAAACCAAAAGCATATTTTTTGACCGCACAATGACGATCCTCTCCAACGTTTTTTTATCACATATCAAAACTTTATTTGCCCATGGATAAAATAATTATGAGAACAATTAGTACTTCTATCTACACACTCCCTAAATCAATAAAGAGAAAGAATAATTTGATTTGTATCTCATTGGAAAAAGAGCATTGACAATACTAAAAAATTATAGAAAGATAAGTTGTGTGTTATTAAAACCGTACCGGTTATCAAATCGGTTAGAGTACTGGTATAATGGTACAGTGGTTCAGTAATTAAACCGCATGTCGGTTAAACCAGATATACTTGCTTTTTTTTATATATATATATATATATTATAAACCTATAACAAAAAATTTCAAATAAGTAGATATTCAGATTTATAATTCATATTCATAATCTACTCCAAATTCACAAAAAACAAACAACATTAAGTCTTTAATAAAATCAAAGTCTAAAGTGCAAAACATATATTAATCCAAAATTATCACTTAACAAACGCAAAATACAAATAAATGACACAAATATCAATCATTGAAGTTGAAGAATTGAAAATTTGAAATTTAAAAAAAAAAATTAATGTATAAACCGACCGGTTTAAACCGGTTCACTGGTTTTCACCGGTTCTATTGCATATGCGGTATAACATACGTACCGTACCGGTTAGGGGTTCGGTTCACCTGTTTTCCGGTTGAACCTGCCAGTACGGTACGGTTTTTACAACATTGGTCACATCATTAATTTGAAACCTTTGTTCTTAATGTGCCAAATAGCCCAAATTTTCACAAACCAAAGAGTCACCCACATTTTTGTTTCTTATGATTGATAGAGAGCATAGACATGATATTATTATGAATAATAGAAGAGATGCCAAAGCAATAATTAAGCTTTTGCTAAACAAAATATGTAACAAATATAAGAGAAACAAATGACTAGTAGATTCCTCCACCTCACCACACAGAGATTGGAGAATAGAGTAGTGAGCATTTAGCCCACCTTAATGAGCAAGGTTCACCTTAGTTGGTAACTCATCCAAAACAAATTTCCACACTAGGCACTTCATCTTTGTTGGTACGTTGCAATCCCACAGTCTTTTGTAGGATGCAATACTACAATTTTCTTCCACTTTTTGTAGAGTTTGACAAGCATTCCTAATCGAGTATTTTCCAATTATATCATGAATCCAAGTCCAAGAATCATCAGTGTGATATTTAGGAATTGAGCAGAGAAGATCCCTAAGGAGTTCTTCAACTTCCTCTTCCTCCTAGGTGAAAAGTTCCTTCTCCATCTTAAGCTCCACAACCAAACCCCGTCATGCCATGCACCGAAGGAAGCAACTGATGCCTCTTTATCCGAAGGCACCTGAAATAATTTGGGAAAAGAATTTAAGAAAAGAGTCACAACCTAGAGACATACGGATACCACCATTTACCAAAAACATCCTATTTCTTTCATGTTCTGACTAAGATTCCCTAATTCTCTCCACCAAGAGGAACCTCTCCTAAAGCACTCCAAATCACTTTCCCCTGTACACCTAAAAGACTCATCCTCATACCTCGATTTTAAGACTTTTACTCAAAGAGAGTCCCCTCAAATAATATTCTCCATCTCTATTTAACTAATAATGCCAAGTTAAACAAGAATAAATTCTTTATCCCAAGATCATCTTCCTCTTTAGGCCTACACACTTTCTCCCCCCTCATCCAAAGACCCTTTTCTCTCTTCCCTCTTCCCCGATAGAAAATGCTTTTGAATTTTGTCAATCCCATTTATAACAGAAATCGAGGCTGTATAAAAAGATAAAATGTAAGTAGGTGGAAACATAATACTGATTATAAAGAGAACAAAGTTATCATCTCATTATAAATTAAATAAAAGAATACACATATGGTAATTTATTGATTTTCTTTTTGTTTTGAAGATTCCTATTCCAACCATAGCTGCCACTAAAGTTATATTCATATAGTCGAGCTTCGTTAATATGAATACTTAGGCAGAATTATTTATGTACTTTAAGTATTAAGTTTTTCAGAATTTCTTGTGTTACAATTCAATTACCTTTCGCTATTTGACCACACAAAAATTAACTTATTCACCGGAGAAGTTTCCTAGTTTGGCTGGCGAGAAAAAGAAGAGGATGGAGATATGATCTAAACCATTTTTTGTTTAGGAAATTAATTAATTACCAAACACCAAGCCAACAGTTGTGGTTATCTTTTTCTTACCCTTGTTAGGTTAGGTTGTTGAATTCATGCTCTCTTAGCTCCAAACATAGTTTGAATGCAACATTAGAGTTTTCATTGGATTATCATAATTCAGGTATTCTCCTAAAACTTAATTTCTCGAAACTTCTGTTCATTTGAAACAAAGATTACTATTTTGCAAGCCCATAAAATTAAAGTAAATATTTTTATTAAATGGTAAGTAAAACTTAATCAACGCATGTTTTACACTAACGCAACTTTTTATTTGTATAATTTTCATGAACTGTCTATATCGGGTTTCACTTAAAAAATTTGACACATGTTCAAATCTTGGTACATATAAATAAACGTAATGCAGGTAGAGCTAATTATGGAAACTTTGGATTACCTATACACATACATAATAAAATGGTTCATGCATGTTTGTTACCTCGTGAAACAACATGGAATGAAAAAAACACTAATGTAACAAAATAGTGTATGATGTATCATTTCATCCTCACTCAATCTCTCAGTCACATTCTTTCAGCTTCAACAGAAGGTATTTCTCTACTTTCATCACTACTTTTATAGTCTTTTCAACTTTTGCAAGGTGAAGAACTTGATATTTTTCAAACTGGAACTTAAAATAATAAACTCTCGAAGTTGAAACAAATACAACTTCTGTACTCTCTTGCATATAAGTTGGAGGAATTTACTTGAGGGAATTTCACCTTTGTTTCTAAACTCCATCTAAATAACGAACGAACGATTCTTTATTTCGCCTGCATGTGTTATGTATCATTGCGGGTTTCAAAGACAACAAGATCGATGAAATTATCTTTGTCTTCCCCAATCAATTTAGAACGATTCTAGTTACCCCACTTAATATACTTGCAAGTTGCAACTATATCTATATCCCTTAGCTTTACTAAAAGTTCATTGTTAGTTAAGTGAAAGTTTTACGAATTAAATATAACACAAGTCGGTTTAAGATTCCCTAACGAAAGAGGACCATCTTAATTTTTAGAGACCCATAATGTATAATCAATGTTTAGTGACTCACATTCCACAACTAGTGACCCAACCAAAAAACATCCGACCTGCCGGATTCGAACCAGCGACCTAAGGATGGCTATTAGGGAATAAACCTACTACAGTCCTCCGCTCTACCAACTGAGCTAAGGTCGGTTACGAAATATATCTCTGACTAATATAATTTCTATTCAAAACATTTTTTTAGACAAAGATGCCAAATATTAGGTTATATTCTATTCAGTTTTTTTTTATATATTACATTTTATTTGGTAACTTGTTTTGATTAAAGGTTAATTTTTTTTAACAATGAGACTACTTATATTCCAACAACAGTGCAGCATTAGTCCATCTCATAGTTACCTTGTCTGGCAAATCTTTCCATTTTTAGATTAGTTTAATCTTTTATTCCTCGAAATAATCTATTATATGATAAAATACTGAAATAAAAAATAATTCTTTCAATTTCAACTCTTCAATTAATATTCACCTGTAAAAAGTAACTGTTAAGAGATCTAGTTCAATAAAAGTACACATTTTTATTAACTTATATTCTCAAATTTTGTAATTTATATTATTACCCAACTAAATCAGTATTATAGTATATATTGGACTATTTCTTTTCTTTAACAGTATAATAGGACTATTATCATTTCTAGTTTAATCATTTTTTTGTTCCCTTGCTATTGTTTTTGTTCCTCACGATTATATTGTATAGCAGTTTCTTCATATAAAGTATTTTTTAGATTGTATTTTCTATAAATATTTTTTACATGTATTTTCATATAATATACTACTTCCAATCCTTTTTTTAGTTCTTTTTTAAGATATTGATTTTGGTCCACTTACGGGATATTTTCCAAATTCTAAGTACATTAATTAATTTTATTATCAAAATATCATCATCAATTAGAATATGGTGGAAAAAACGAGTAAATCATAACGATAAAAGATAATTTTATAAAAAAATAATTAGTAAATTAACCATATTAACTAATCTCATTAATTCTGGTCAAAGATCCTTCAAATTTTACATTGATAGAGTACTTTTTCTTTAAAAAAAATCTCAACCACAAGTCCTTTAAATTTTAGACTGAAATACTGAAGAATGTGATTTTGATTTCACATTATAAACATTAATAATTTATTGAAGTATAGTCTTGCCAAACATTTACATGAGACATCAAAGAACTTATAAAATGATGGAAGAAAAATAATTTTATAACAACATAAGAGGCAATTAAGGGATGATCATTTTATACAACATAGCAAATATGAATAACTTATTCTATCATGGTCTTACAATCTTAGTATTGTGTTTGTGTATCTCTAATCAGACATCACATTGAAAAGTAAATTTACCACTATACTTTCTCATTTTCTCTTCTGCTCCTTTGGTAATTACTAATTACATGACCCTATGTTACAACACCTTACGGCTACATAGGATATGTGGTGGTATCATTGACCAGGATACACTGTTTCCTATATTGTTTTTTTGTTCAGCTTCTTTTCTGTCCAAAAAATTTCAATCTCCATTTTCTATTGGCTGAAACTTTATGATAATAAATAAATGAACATGGTTGTAAATGAATATATGAATATTATGGTCTAATTTCTTCATTCCTTCAACTGATTTAGTTTGCCTGTTTCTTATAGAAAGGTTTCTGGCTGATCAAGAGTTTCTGATCATTGTCACTTTCAATTTCTATCACTCTTGCTTCCCACTTCAGCTGTGTTATTAGAACTCTAGCTGATTCTATTAAAGGAACTGTATCTCTAATTATAACCCAACCCTGCACAAATGACAAATGTTAAGAGCATATTAGAATTCTTGTTATTATATCTTTACTTTTCTTAAGAGCATATACCCTCAATCATTTTAAATCACTTATCTCAGGAAACAAGGTTAATATCGAGTTTACATACCTCCGGGCGAAGTATCCTATCAATTTCGATGAACATATCAAGCATCGTGCACCTGTGCTGCTGAGAAGTTTCAAGGGATAGAAGTCCAGCTGCATGCACCAAGTCATAGGTTCTAGGATATGTTGGAAAGGCTTCACACCTAGAAGCCACCAAATATCATAATTACAAGAAAACTATCATGTGCATAGGGCCTAGCAGCCATTCTTCACAAAATGTTATGGTTTCTAAGCCAGAGGTAATAGGAAAAACAAATGTTATATGCACCATGCGACTGGTAAACCGTAACTCTTTCTTGAGCAAATGGTAAAATGTAATTCGGTAAATCTAGTGTTTCTTAATGAAACAACTGTAACCAATCCATTTGGTAAATGAATACATGGAGGTGTCTGTAATGAATTCATGAATTCTCAAAGTGTAAATATTATACACGTTATGAAATTGATGGAAGTAGAGAATTCATATTCAGCGACGCAAAACAAATTGATGGAAGTAGAGAATCATGACATTATGAAATAAGAAGAGAAAGGAGATTAAAATACCAATCATGCAAAACCCCTATGAATCCTCTGTCATGGATCAGAGGAAGATAGTTGAGCCCGCTTATTGGGACGACATTCATCACCCAGGCAGACTTCCTAGCTTGCAGCAAGGCAGAGTTAAAACCACCAAAATGAGCATTCATGTCAAGCACATTTCTGAACATGTTGTAAGGTGGTGGAGGGTCCTCTTCACCGGGCCTCTTTGGATGATCCGAAAATATCAATGGAGACAGGAGTGACCAGTAATTACGGACTGCTGTTCTCCAGCTTTCAGAGTCTTCGGCGAATTCATCAGACTGTAACCCTAACACATTTAAATATCGACATACAGAGATAACCACATTAATTCAGTAAGAAAGTATATTGTAATAACTTCCATGAAGCGCACTATAATTAAGTGTTGAAGAGCATAACAAATACCGTAGACTGCGAGCTCGTTCTTGTTCAAGTTAGCTCGAGAAGGCCATCTTTCCCTTTTCTCAATTGGAATCCAACGGCTGCTCTGCGTTCCTCCTATGCAGTTTTGGAGTTCTCGATAATATGGACTCTCCACGTTATAACCTTTACTACACAAAGGAGGGGCAGAACTAGACTTTCTGGCAGTGAAAACAGGGAATGCTAAGAATCAGGAACATGTTAATTTTAATGTAGTAAGAAATTGTATATACATGGTAGAATCTATTTACTAGAATATGTTTCCCCGGATGCACAAACTGAAATAAATTTTCATAAAAATATGTATGGCAGCATTACCTTGAACTATAGCAACTCCTTTTACTAGTTTTCTTCCATACAACAGTTGCATCTTGCTGTGACAACATTTCCCAGCAAAGATTTTCGGTAAAATCGTGTATGAACTTCCACCTTTTCTGATCCTCTTTGTTACGTGACTTTATAAGTGGTGATGTCCAGACAAAGTATCCACCCGGTTTTAAAAGTCTATCAGCTTCAATCAAAAGAACGCCATCTACACCATGTAATATGAATGTTAATAAGATCAACAGGTGCTTAAATATTGATTAAAATTCTGCATAAATCAAATTAATGGTTCTGAAGCCCGATCTAATTTTTCATGTTCCAAATTCAAACATAAAAAGGGGACATCATGAAATATAGAATAAAGGCAATTTGAAGGATTAGCTACAACGCCTTCACACAGGTTTTAGAAACATCGAAACTTTCTGATCTTGTTCTTTATTATGGTGAAGAATGCAATAAGGATTCGAGGGTAAGTCTTCATCAACTTGGGGGAAAACTAGAAATAACAGAATTAGTTTTGGCTGTAGTTTTTCAGGGAAAACTAACAGGAAGACTTTTAAAAGTTAGCTGCAGTTTGTTGGATACTTCACCGAGTATAAAAAATGAACAATAATAAGCATCTACTTATTTTGCTTTTAGTAAGTTAGCATTAGCAACTAGAACAAGGATGCATAATGTTATATTGCCTCAAGTAAATCTCAGGATATTCTGCTAGAATGGTGTTAAATGTCTAAGGCTCAAAGAAAAATAACAATACCATATGATGTAGCCAGTCCACATAACTCGGATGTGTGAAAATTAAGCTTGTATTAAGCTTGCCTGAAAGGACCCTATGTAATATAGAAGCTCGGTGAACTATCGCAATTTTTCCATGCTATGTTTATTCATAAAAAAATTTGTTGTTGAAAAAGCACAGAATATACTTGAAGTATGCTGACCCAACAAAAGGTAACAGATTAAAATTGAGAAAATACCTTTATGGTCCCAATCAATGCCACACCATGCACAATGTAACATATCAAAGGAGAGAGACGGATATGGCAACTGTTTTGAAGTGAAAGAAGCAATCATTGCAGGAAGACCCCTCTCGAGAGTGAGCTGAACTTGACTGCCAGAAGGCTCATAGTTTGCGATGCACGTAGTCAAAAGTTGACTGTGAAAGAGGTGCGCTCCAAAGCTACCATAGCCACAACCAATGTCCAGTATTGTTTGAACCTACAAATTTAAGATGCCATAATCGCCGTTCACATGACATTTCAGGCAAGATCTAATGTAGTCAAGCTTTAAGATTTCAGCTCATATGCCATCATAATCTATCATAAAATTCTAACACAAGTCCCTACAAAGCACTCTAGAACAAACAATTCCAGAAAGAAAAAAAAGGTACAGGCTTAGATCAGTTAAGACATATACAAGGTTATCATTTCAAGCCAATGGTGAATCTTTGAAACATTCAAGGTCATTCGAGGAAGATCCTAAACTAATAGTGTATATTTATAATTTTTTTAATGCCGATATTATTAGTGAGATACTGAGATCTTAAAGTCCATGGAGATGCCCACCCATTTATCACAATTCAACAGTAAAATAGATGGCAGGCATTATGTATGCTGAATTCTACCAAACCAGTGAGTAAAATGGATGAGTGAAACCAAAAAAAATCATGCTACAAACACTCAATTTAAAATTTCAATACTAATCAGTATCACAAAAAGTACTTACCCCAGCTTGAATGAAGTAAGATTCATTTCTAAGTCCCATCATTTCTGCAATTTGATGTGAGTAGTCTTCAATACCATCAAACATATGAGAGGCTGAACGAAAAGAAATTTGCTCTTCATCCAGCATCATCATCCTGTAACCTCAAATGAAAATTTTAGACAAAAATTATTATGTTTGAATGTAGGATAGACTATGTCACCTACCTCTTGGTC